AGATGCCGGTCTAGATGGGAAAATCTAGACCACGGTCAATATCGATTTCAGCCAATCAAATTCGTGAATTCGGTAGTTCCCAGTCCTTGTGAGACACGGCCATATAATAATAAACAATAATTGGATGAGGTTTTTGTGATATCTGGAATAATCAAGGTCGAGGTAAGTATTATCAGCTGGAGCCAAAGGCTGAGGCTGATAACAATAACTGAGACCTTGATTATTTCGGATGTCACATTGAAAAACCGAATCTAATAATTGTTTCATTATGCATTATTTAAAGAAAATAACGACAAACACATTATCACACTGAATGCAGTTTATTTTTGACAAGCCACGTTCTGACTTTGCTGTCTGTGCCTTGACATTGCGCTTGGAAATCGTGCATTGTGCGCGCAACCTACAAATAATTATTATTCACTAAATCTGCTAGCAGATTAGTGAATAATTTGTACAGTGTAGGTTACGCTTTTTCCCCAAGATTAACGGCAGGCTTTTAGCCAATGAGAAGACAGATGGTGACTACAATATATAATAATAATATTTATTGTTCTAGTATAATTTTCAAAGGTGAATATCAAGGACTACAAGATAACATACTAAAACATAAAACGCAGAAGCTATTGTCTGTGTGCATACATGTATGCAGCAGTAGTTTTAATAATAAGCTTACATGTACATCAATTGTCAATATGTTTTTTGATTATCCATTTGTTTCTAAATGTTCTTTTAAAACTATGGAGAAACGAGGAAACGTTGCAATTTTGTCAACCACACAAAGCCACTGCACATTAATGGCTTATAGTGTTCAATGGCTCAGCCAATCAGATTACAGCATTTGCATTAGTATACTAGTAGAATTCTACTAATTAGGGTTAGGAGACAAAGGAAATTGAGAATCAAACTAGGTTAAAATCATTTTAACCTGAATTTCATTTTGACCTACAACACATATGTTATTGAATAATATATTTTATACTGTGGCCCGTGTTTTGTCTCTTATTGCAAGATCCTGATGCATTCATGGATTTCAAAACAAGGACTATAGAATTTAGAAACTTAAAGATGCATGTGTATAAGCTTACTGATTTTGCCCTATGTAAAATAACATTATTAACAGATATTAATCAATTATCATGGTAGGTGGTTGCATCATGACTCATGGATGATTTTGAGTGAACCATAATAAGTTAAAATAAATTTATTGTTGGAAATCACCCTGAAGAAATGTAAAGGCACATGATCAACCTAAGGGATGGGTCATTTTCATTTTAAGATGGAGGTGGAGGGGCTAGGAACTACGGGGTTTTCTTAGCAAATAATCCCTTTTCAGCATCAGGACAGGTGGTGCAATAATCTTTTCCAATTTGTTCTATGAGAGTAGAGTCCATGTTGCCACATATTAGATCACAGATGTTTTCACCGGTATTTTTACCACTTTTGATATCTTCCTTAATCTACTACTGAACAGACAGATGACAACATGGAATTGATCTGTTTCATGTAATCAAAGACCCAATTGAAAGAAAAATGTCAAGAGTGAATCCACCAGAAGTTTGAGTAACTAGTGGACAAAAACTTAGTACCAACATTATTTACATTGTATTCATGAGAACTTCTATGCAACTGTTTTAAATATCTTCTCGAAAGAAATCATTTCTAACAACAACAAATGTCGCAAACAAATGTTGAAGTAATAGATCAAAAACGAGTGAGAGTTTTTCATCAGGGGTTCCAAACACCGANGAAGTTCATATGAAACACGTGAAAGTACTGGTGAAATGAAACTGATGATGAAATTTTACCTCTGTTTGCACAATTTCTTTGAACTTTATTTATTTCCTCGACTTCCCATGGAAAATAGTTTTTGGTGTTATTTCAGGCAAGTATTGATATCTTTAGCTTTTAGAAAATGCTAAAAGGACTTTAATAGAACAGTAAAATTACTCTGGTACAAGGTTTTTGTCCACTAAAAGTTGAAATTGCTTGATTTTGTATCGGATTTTGTCTTAATTACATCATCTACATGCATACATGTACAGTGTCTGACTTCCAATCAATCATAACTAGAGCCAATCAAAATGTGAGAATAATTTAACTTATGTTACATTGAGCCATTGAATTTTGATAGTCATTACACATTTGAATGTCAGTTACTCTAATTTATGATCTGTTTAACAGTGCTTCAATCATTAGTCAAAGACACAACTGGAAGCCTACTTGACCTTAAACTACAGAAGGCTAAAGAAACTATAGAACATCTTAGAAGTGAGCTGCAAGAGGCCAAGAGTGTTCCATTAAAGGAAAACAGAATGGATAAAAAAAGGTACAGTAAGTGAGAAGATTGTCTTTGTTCACATTTTGTTTATTGAGTTTGTTTAGTAACTGTAAATACCCAGGTGCTAAAAGGAATACTATCATTGACAAAGTACCAAGGTTGTGGTCTGATCTAAGGAAATTACAAGGAGCCCAAAGCTTCCTAGTTATGAAATCTTGGGTGCCCAGCACTTAAGCCCATATGAAAATTTTTTCCAGTCACCCAAAGGCAAAAGGTTAGTCACCTGTGGCACCGGGCACTTCTAGAGCACAGCCCTGATGTAGCAACTAGCTTTACATACTAACAGTACAATGTACATTGTATACATGTCCATTAGGTCAAATATCAGTTGTACAAAATATTGTTAGTACTGTCTCATGAATTAAGTGTTGTCTAAATTTTATTTCAGTTATTATACATTGTGGTCACCATCTGTCTTCTCATTGGCTAAAAGCCTACAGTTAATTCTGAAAAACAGTGCAACCTACAGATTATTCACGGATCTGCTAGCAGATTAGTGAATAATCTGTAGGTTGTGGGAGCAGTGCATGATATTTCAAGAGCAATGTCAAGTTCACGGACAGCGAAGTAAGAACATGGCTCGTCGAAAATAAACTGTGTTCGGTGCGATAATGCATTTGTCGTTATTTTCTTTAAAACAATGTATAATTATAAAACAATTATTAGATTTGGTTTTTGTGATATCCAAAATAATCAAGGTCGAGGTAACCAATAATTGTTTTTAAACAGACAAAAGAATCCTTAATTCATGAGTTGATATTAGTCTAATATTCACAACAAAGATCTTGATTTCCCACCACATCTAAAAGTGGAAAAAAGTCAATCTAAAATTCGAATTGTGTTGGCTGATCACTGAGCCTTTTGCTGAAGGTCTGACTGATATGCTCAAAACACTAAAAAGAAACTTGTGAATGAGTCCTGGAAGTAAGAAATGTACTTTTAGGTGGTGGTTTAAAAGTTAAAAAATATAAAAATATAGATATAAATTATTGGTTAATAATCTACTTCTATGGAAAAACATTTGTTTTAATTTTTAAATTTAACTTTCCAACTGATATTAACTAAATCAGAAAGTTAGCTATTACACCCTTGCAGTCTTACACCCTCTTTCAATTTTAGTATCCTTTTCATTCCCTGATCATTACAGTAACTTAAATTTATTAATGAAGGCAATGAAGTGACTCTCAGAGTGAATTATTACAACCATCCTTTTGTCACATGTGTCTCTAGATTTAATGGCCACAGACTTGTTCATTTGGATCTCAAAGGGGCACCACCAAAAATGGAATATCTGATAAAGGTACATACAATGTACGTGTATAGGGTTAAAATTAATTACATGTACTGTCTAGTGATTTTACAAGTTTTTCGGTGACTGACACAAATTGTCAAATGATGTATTTTTATTGAAAAGGTTATAGATTCTTGCATGCATATACCCTGGGCATTTCCCACGTTCTCGCCACAGGGTCTCCTCATCTTTTAACAGGGTTTGAAAAAAAGTCTTAAATTCCAGCTTGTCCTTGGGACAGGTAGCTCTCAAATTTTGCTTGCCCTGGGCAAGTCTTAGTCTGCTCTTTCAGTGATTTAGTTGGCAGACAACTTGCCTGAGCCCTTTCTCATAGGGCAAGTGAGAATGAAAACCTCCTGCCCAGAAGAAGAATTTGCTTGTCCCCGATGACCGGACAGCACTCTTTTGTTTTTTAGCCCTGGTTTATCTAGTAACGTGCCGGGGGTTAATTTGCGCTGGATTTTTGCCTTTGCGAGTACTCCTTCTTTGTATAACTACAAAAGAAATTCATTTATTTAACATGCTTATTTTTGTTGAAATAAAGTATCATCTACAAGTGTAACTGGACACATTTATTTGGTAATGCAGATTCTTCCAGAGTTTAAGAAATGGGGAGCAACTGGATTACTGGTGGAATATGAGGATGTGTTTCCCTACAAAGAAAAATATGAAGTCCTGCGTGCCAAGAATTCCTACAGGTACACTATCAGTACACAATTAATGTCAGCTTGTTTCAGGTGTATACAAATGAGTTGATGCAGCATAAAATGTGTATTGTGGGTTTCCATTGTGGTACATGTAACTGCTGCACATGTTTGTTCTGTATATTAAATAATTTTCATAATGTCTTTATTTGATTCAAAATTTTCAGTGAAGCTGAAATAAAACAATTTCTGAGAGAAGTCACTGCAAATGACCTGATTTTGATTCCACTTGTACAGACATTTGGCCATCTGGAGGTAAATATTAATATAATTTATTATTTTTTGATTAGTATGCTCCATAGAAATTACAGTACTGCTCAAAAGTAAGTTACCACCGTCTCGCGAGACATATCTCGTTTCTCGCGAGACAAAATCACAGGGCAAGTGTCTGTAATTTTGCATTGATGGTCACCCTTTATACAGATGAACATGTATTACAGCATGTTACACGTACATATAATTATGTATAATTGTGTATTTAATCATGTGACATTTAGAACCCTACCCTGAAGCTATTTCATTTCATTAATAATTAGGAATTACTAATTATGAATTTTCTTTTATTAAGTTTGTTTTGAAACACAAGGAATTTGCTCATCTTCGTGAAACAGAACACTTCACCAATTCACTTTGTCCAAATAACAAAGGTAAGGGACTATTTAATATTTATGTTTACTTAATAATAATTCTTTTTTAAGTTACTGCCTTCTCAAAATTAAAATGCTCCACATACATGTAATCAATGACACAGAAGTTAACATTAACAAAAATTACAACAACTTACCGGTAAATTAACACAATAATGTCATGAAGCATTAATTTTCCATAACTTTTGGTACACCTTGACAAGTAATTACTTTCTAATAAATTAAAACTATTAATAGTAATTCAGTTCAGTCTGCAATCTGCTTACTGTAGCACCTGTGTGGTATTTTATAGAATCCATTCCCATGGTGACAGGGCTCATTGACCAGGTGTTGGCACTTCATCCTGGTATCAAATGGTTTCATATCGGAGGCGATGAGGCAAGATCAGATTTGCTGTTAATCAAATAATTAATTCATGCTGCATTTATCCTCTGTCATTCTTTTCAGTGTGCAGTTATTTTCTTCACAAAAAGGAACTGAGAAAATTGAGCAGCAACCTGTAATTCCGCAGCAAGAAACATCAAAATTATAACCAGTATTAGATGTATAACCACTGTTGGTTATACAAAGCCAAATTGTTGGTTTTAAAAACCTTTCTGCACATGAAAGTTTTTTTTTCAAATATCCTAATGTGGGAAGAAAAACATGATCAAGCTCTGGGCAATCACACAGCTGTCCTCCAAATATTATAAATGTTTTATTATTAATAAATATTTTAATTATTGTTTTTGTTTGTTTGTTTGTTTGTTTGTTTTTTTACATAGTATTTTGAAATAAGTCCACTCACAATTCGCCTTAATCACAGTCCGCCATGTTGGTTGCAACGTCACCATTTTTCACATGAAAGCGAGGCCATGCGTGTTGAAACATCATGGCTGAGTCAGTGAGTACTTTGATTTCTTCAGAGTTTTGGTACTGCAATCTGGTGGACATACCAACAACAATATTTACCTGTGACAGTGACAGTGTATATTGGCTCCGGGAAGTCTACAACAACAGGAGAGGATGACAGTTCCGGTTGGACCTCCATGGAACTTTCCTCACCAGAAGCTTGGCCGAAAGTTGATGCTATGGATTAAAATGAAAAACATAAAAATACTTCTGATTATTTTATGATTTTAACCAAGGAATGTTTAAAGAAATATCGACAACAATATTTACCTGTCACAGTGACAGGGGACGATGGCACGCTTACATCAAACAATCGCACTCGTGCACGCGGTGGTTCTCGCTTTGTCGGAGATTTTCTTTTCCTGGGTGATCTTGACCAGCAAAAAATACTCGGAACTGCATGCTTCTCCAGAACACGCTTCCCTGTTAAAGTTGTCTGAAAATCTGCTTCCTTAAAGTGTACAGAACATACTCTTGTGCTGTTTGTTATCTGCAGATGGACCAGATCATAATAATTAATACATGTGCGCAGCAATGACATCGATAACCTAACCAACTTACCTGGACACTTTTGCCCACGTCTCACCGTATTTTGACAACCCACTGCTTTTGAATGGCTTCATCACTGGGAAATTGGTGAAAGGTATGATTTGGAATATTTTTAGCGCAATTATTTTTACATTGCGGCACGCAACAGTGATCTCCGTTGGGCATGATTGCAGATGATCGCCTTGTCTCCTCGATCGCCGGAAGTTGACTTAACACGCGTGGCCTCGCATTGGTGTCAAAAGTACATGACGTCGATCCAAGATGGCTGCTGTGCAATAAAGGCGAATCACACAAGTTTACATGTACCTACTGTGAACAATAAAAAAGGATAATAATTATAGTATAGGTGAATGTGCCACTCCGTGGCTTCATACTCTGCATGCACTTCACCCTCTACATACAAAATACATTTGCTTAGCAAAAACGAAAAATGGTCTAGAAAATGTCCATACCCTCCCCCTGACTCCTCTGGAAATACCAGTCAAACTTAATATGTATTTTCCTTTAAAAATGTTTGGCATATTTTCTACCCCCCTCCCCCTCAGAATTTCTGAATAATAAATGACTTTCCATGAGTTGAGTGTGGATATTTTTGGACCTGCACAAGGATAGGAATGGCATCATATAGCAAAGATTTGGGGGGAAATAAGGGAGTACTAACATTTACAAGTACAGAAGATTTCTTTACATGTATGTAGCTCCTTTTCATTAACCATTAATACAGTGTACATGTATTCTTGTGTTACAGAAGTCAACTTAGCCCAGGACTAGGGTATTTGCTTAGTCGATCGGGAGCAGGGGAAAAAGAGTGAGAGAAAAAGTAAGGGAAGAGTGTGATGGGGCAAAGCTAAAGAATACATGAAAACCCTTAGCCCTGCTAACTTTTTAGGTCACTAATTCTTTCACTGCTTCCAACTAATCAAATGCCTGTAACAAGCTAAAGTCATCTCTCACTTTAACCTGTTGTCGATCTTATAGTTATTCATTATTTTGACATTCTAGGTATGGAACCTCAAGACATGCTCAGTCTGTCTGAAGGATGAACGTAATAAATCTCAGTTGTTTGTCCATCACATGACTCCCATTTTAAAGTATTTACAAAGCAAGAAGGTTACACCACTCATGTGGGATGATATGATGAGACATTGGCCTGTGGAGTACTTGAAAGGTATATGGCTTAATACATGCCTGAGGTTGCTGTATAGTTAGCTGAAAAGATACCTGCACTAGTCAGAGAAGTTGCATAAAAAAATTACCTTGTGGGAACAGTATTAGCTAGGCAGACTGGTGGTTTCCATACCTAAGAAATACATTGTATGATTTAAAACAAGTTAAATTAGTGGCCATGCTGTTTCATGCGTGTACATTATGTACATAATAACACTATGTGGATCTGTGTATCAGTGTTTGGGTCTGTGGATGCATGCAAGGAGCAAATTGACCATAAGAAACTGAGGCTGCAAAAAATTAACATTTCCAAATGTTATTTGTGAAACAAGAGAATGGATTGACCATTCAAATAAGAGCTTTTGGGTGGTAGCATCATTTGGTAATATTGTTTCTTATGCCCTACAGTTAAGAGACTTCTCACTTCTAAGGGGATGGATGAAACCTTAAACTAATCAAATGCACAACTGAAATTTTAGTTTTGTTGTTGTTGTTGTTGTTGCTGCTGGTTTTGTTAATGTGTCATTGCTGTTTTCTTAGAAAAGGTCTTAATTCTTTGTTATTAAAATTTTGTTATCAATATATTTAGTTACTGATATTATACATGTACCTTTTTGTACTTTGCTGTGACAGAACTGGGACCTCTTGTGGAACCAATGGTCTGGGCTTACAGATCAGATTTGACAGGCTATTTTCCCTCTGGTAGAGTGCTTTAATTTGTTGTTGTTGTTGTTGTTGTTGCAATGATTAAGTGTTGTTCTTGTTTTTATTATTTGTTAGTATAGCATGGTAGTTTTTGTTGCTTTTCACATGATCATGGATATGAAATTAGAATGCAGCTTGGACTCTTTTTAATTGTTATTAATATTTATTATTTATTTACCTCTTGTGTTTCTGAAGACATGTGGGAGAGATACGGTGAAGCTTTCAACAAGATTTGGGCGGCAAGTGCTTTTAAAGGTATCACAATTTTAAATACATTTTTGTTGATCTACATTGTGCATAGCTTCAGATTTTACTTAGTAATAAGCCATGTTCGTCATATTTACATGCAACTTTCAAAATACTGCCTCAGTCTCTATCAAAGCAACTCTGTATGAACTGGCAGGCCTGTCTAACAAAGAAAGATTCCACTACACATGTTACAATATCTTTTTCTAATCCCGTCCCGTCCCGTCCCGGGCCATCTCATCTCCTTCCGTACGACTAATTTCGGTGCTCTTTACGGAGTGCGTTCTTGATCTCCTGTTTTGTAACTACATATTGCTGATCTGTTTTAAAGGTGCCACCTTTCCGTGGAGCAACTTTGTTCCCATTGGCTTTCATGTGCAGAACAATCTCAACTGGCTGGACATCATTGCTAAGGTTCCAAGTACTCTGGAATTCAATGGTGTTGCTCTGACTGGGTGGAGCAGGTACAGTATTTGTCGGCCAAGCATGATTGGCCTTGAAAACGAGATAAGTAAGTGACTCAAGCCACTAGAAAAGAAACTGGAGTCTGGTCCTCTTCCCATTGTGTTGGCCTACCAATGCGAAGAAAATTCCCGCATAGTTCGACTCGTACTGGAAAATCTCAGAAAATGACGTTCCTGATATCTGAGGTCGTTGGCTTATTAACATTGTTAGTAATTTACCAGTTAGTTATTTCTGCCAAGGTTGTATTGAAGAACGTTGTATGAACGTGACACTTGACAAAGCTTTTTTTAATTTAAAATGTTTTGTTGGTTGCCTCGTAAAATGGCAAGTAAACTTGAAAGAACGCGGGAGGCAGAGAGATATCAATTGCGGAGATAGCCTGTGAACAGGCTCTGGCTGGAAGGGTCTAAAGGCGGCTGGAAGGGCCGAGAACGAACTGGCTGAGATTGAAGTGGGCGAGGGAGGTACATGTACTGTATGGTTGGGATTTGGCGTCTCCCCTCCCCTCTCTTTCTCTCTTCTCTCTCTTCTCCCGCTTGCTCTTCTCCCGCTTGCTCTTCTCCCC